GGTTGCCAGGCTTGGCAACAAGCACCAATGCCTGCTGAACCATCTCACCAGCCTCAAGTTTGAAAAATTTGAAGAATATCCAGAAACACTGCAATGCGAGACTCCCAACAGTGATTTCCCCCTTGTCATGGCTTTTGAATAGCCCAATAGACAGGAACATGACTAAGAAATCTAAAGCCAGGCAAGAAAGCACAAGCCTGTCATCCCATCACTTGGAGATCAAGCAAGTTCAAAGCCATCCTGGGCTACATAGCAAGACTTTATCTCAAAGGAAATATATCTAGACTCCTAAATCAGCTTTAAAGATCAGCTCAAAGTTTTGTGATATTTTTAATATCTATATGGATGTTTTGACTGCATGAATATGCATATACCATGTGCACATCTGGTATCTGTAGAGTCCCCGGACCTGGAATAACCAACCATGGTGAATGACCACATCAGTGCTAGGTATTGAACCAGGGACCTCTGGAAGGTCATTCAGTGCTCTCACCACTGAGACAATTCTCCAGCCCCTTGTGATGGTTTTAATATCCTTATAATCTTCACAGTCCACAGCTACTGCCTAGCATGACTGGGTGGTTTGAAAAAGAATGGTCATAACAGGCTTCTATTTTTAAATGCTTAGTCCCCTGTTGTTGGAACCATTTGGGAAGGATTAGGAGCTAGGGCCTTGTTGGACACCAGGTGTGTCACCATTGCCCGTTAGTCTCTCTCTGCCTCATGTTTGTAGATCAGTTGTAAGCTTTCAGCTACTTCTCCAGCACCATGCCTTCCTGCCTGCTGCCATGCTCCCCATGATGACCATGGACTCACGCTCCAAAACTGTAAGCCACAATAACTGTTTCTTCTAGAAGTTGCTTTGGTCATGGCATATCCTCAGAGCAATAGAAGAGTAACTAAGACACATAGGCACACATCTATAACCCTGGCCCTTCAGAGGCAGTGATAGGACAGCCTCAAGTTTAAGGCAACACAGGACTGCACAGTTATGGACTATCTAAGACAACAAACTACAGCCATCACATTAAGTAGACTGCTTTGCTTGCTCCAGTGAGCTGCTTGTTTTGGAAAGCCAGACTGCCAATAGCAATGAAGATCTGAAATGTCAAAGCCCAAAACTATAAAACTGTCAACCCTTATTCATGGGATTGTTCTTCCTTAAGAAATAACTCCCTAGAGTCCATGGCCCGGACCAATTTCCTCACCATCTAGCACACTCTTTGTTTAATTATATTGCATAAAAATTACCTCCTCCTACCTAAAATTCTTGCTGCTTTTAACATATATCCTTGGCATCCACTACAGTGAGCTCAATAACTAGCCAATGATTCAATCTAATTAGTTCCCTTTTTCTACTACACTTATGAGCAAGTACTTCAATATTGAAATAAGCACACACAAAAACTGTAGTGCTATTTCAGCTCTGTGCTCATTTCATCATAAATATTGATAAATTATATTTTCTATGAGTATATCTCAAAATACACTTCAAAATATCTGATATAGGGTCAGCTAGATAGCTCAGCAGGTAAAGACCTTGCCACATAACCTTACAACCTAAATTTGAACCCTGAAAACTCCAAGAGAAAATTGACTCCCAAAAATTATCCTCTGGCCTCTATACACATGCTACATGTACACAGCAAGACACTTCCCCCACACATACACCGTACACACATACACACAAATACTTTTAAAAAGCCAAAGTATGTAACAAAGTACAGTGGCACACACCTCTACTCCTAGCACTTGAGAGGCAGAGGTAGGGGAATCACAGAATTCCAGGCCAGTGCTCTACAGAGAGAGTACCAGAACAGTCAAGCTATACCTACCCACACCCACACCAAAAAAAAAAAAAAAAAAACCTGTCTCAAAACAAAACATGAATTGAAGCACTTTTAATCCACAGCTCAACCAAGAAAATAATAATAAAGGAGTGCTTGATCTCCCAGGTCTGAGCAAGCTGGCCTCATTTTTAACTCAAACTGCTCTTTTGGACACTGTAGCCATAAATCAACTGGCTCTTTGACAAATGTTCTTAAAAGACATCTCCAGTCATGTTAACAAGCCCAGGTGGAAACTGAGTCTCCTCAGTATGGCCCTATCGATAATGATCTGCCTGCTCCAGAAAGCTAGGAATTGCCTTTTAGTTCTCCTTTGCCGGGTCCCTGGCTCCAATCTACTAACAAATGCTCTAATCTACTTTCAAAATAGATCTGGAATTCATCCACTTCTCTCCATTACCAAATCCACCATGTGGGCCTGTTACTTGAACTACACAGACTCGCCACTGGATTCAACACGTTGTAATTACAGTCTCCTTCAATAAGAGTTAGCCACTGAACCTGTAAAGGTCGAGTCTTAACCAAGGCCTCTCAGGCCTCGCTCCATCAGTCACTTCACATTCCCCCAAACGTGGCTCACACTACTCTCCCTTCCCTTCAGTAAATCCACCTACACACTCCTTCATTCCTATAACACACCATTCTCCTCCAGCTTCATTTCTGCCTCATCCTTTCACACAAACACAAACTATAGTCTCTCAGTAGCTGATGCTTCTCATCCAATAGGAGTTTGCTTGGTTAACAACCTAAAATCGATGATCCTTATCATTCTTTATTGTATTCTCTGTGGCACTCAAAAAAATTGTTTTTTCCTTATTTATATTAAATGCTTAGTAAGTTCTTAACTTTTTAAATGTCTATCTTGTTCACCAAAATAAAAGTTCCTTAAAATCAGAAACCAAATTAATCTTTTTCATCATACATACATACATCAGCTAGACCCGGAATAGCACAGGGCCTAGAAAACATCCATCAGTACCTATTTACTGAATGGGCTATTTGATGACATATGTCTGTAATCCCAGCTATTCAGAACACTGGCACAGAAAGGTTTTATTTATGGTTATTTTATTTACTTATTTTTGAGATAGAGTCTACGTATCCCTAGCTAGCCTTGGAACTATGTAAACCACACTGACCTCAAACTCAGAGATCCACCTACCTCTGCCGCCTAAGCACTAGGATTAAGAGTGCTTAGGCAATACCACGCCTGCCTTACGACAGGATTTCAATGTCAAGATGAGCCTGGGCAATTTAATGAATCTCTACCTTCTGAATGAAATAAATATCATACCCACTCAGACCTTCCTATGGACAACCTAATTTTTTAAAAAATCTCATTTCTGCTGCAAACCCACTCCTGTTTACAAAGGAAATATAGAATTAAAAATGAGGCTTGACTCCAATCTCCACAAACTCCAATACCCACATTTTACTCCAGATATACCTTATACTAAAATGGTTTCCTTAACATTCCATGTACCATATTCTGTGCCTTTGCAGTTCCATTTGTCTGAAAAAAATTCTGGTTGTTCCTCAAGGCTCAGCTCAACTGTTACTTCCTTAAAAAGTTTTCTTAAAGAGAGGACCCTGACTAAAATGCTCAATCCCCATCCCGAAAGGCAAAAAGGACATCAGAAGAAGAAGAAAACAGGAAACAAGTTAGGAACCTGCCACAGAGGGCCTCTGAAAGGCTCTGCCCTGCAGACTATCAAAGCAGATGCTGAGACTTATGGCCAACTGTTGGGCAGTATGCATGGAATCTTATATAAGAAGTGGGAAATGGTAAGATCTGGAGGGGACAGGAACTCCACAAGGAGAGCAACAGAACCAGAAAATTTGAACACAGGGGTCTTCCCAGAGACTCATACTCCAACCAAGTACCATACATGGAGATAACCTAGAACCTCTGCACAGATGTAGCCCATGGCATTTTAGTGTCCAAGTGGGTTACATAGCAATGGGAAGAGGGACTGCCTCTGACATAAACTGATTGGCCTGCTCTTTGATCACCTCCCCCTGAGGGGGGAGCAGCCTTACCAGGCCAGCCACAGAAGAAGACAATGCAGCCATTCCTGATGTGATCTGATAGGCTAAGATCAGAAGGAAAGAGGGGAGGACCTCCCCTATCAGTGGACTTGGGGCATGCGTGAAGAAGGGGAGGGAGGGGAAATCGGGAGGGGAGGAGGGAGGGACTTATGGGGGGCTACAAAGTGAATAAAGTATAATTAATATAAAAAAATAAAAATAAATTTAAAAAAGGTTTTCTTAAACTCTGAAAACTAGGTACCCTCATTTTTATATGAAATTCATCACCCTGTCTGGAGAGGGAGGAATAGTATAATAGACTGCTGCTAGGCGGTGGAGATTTACAAAGAAGGTAATCTTGGGCACATTATTTCCAGCCCTAGGACTCTGCTGCCCAACAGAGTCCTGTTGGGTGACACTCTACCAGCTCTGTGGTACGGGCTTAGAATTTAATAGTACACAGCACAGATGTGGCAATAATGAAGCTCAGTCCATGTTAGCTATTAGTTATTACTATCAGCTGTGTGGATCATTCTGCGGCTGCCTCAGAGGCAACACAAACTTCAGTCATGTGCTGAGCTGTTAACATCTGGCCCAAGAGGAAACAGACTTTTTTCAATGAAAACAAAATTGAACCTAACTATTCCCAAGAAAAGTAGAATGAACTGCAGTTTAATTAGGTTCTAGAACCTTTAAAAATATAGAGAAGTATACTGTCACAAATCTTTAACCCTAAGCATTAATAGGCCAAATGATTATTGCTCTAATGGTCTGCCTCATTATGTCAACTTTTATTACAATGTTTCCTTGGCTTCTTTCAGGTTCTGAGTTATTAATTTCCGGCCCGTAGGCCTGAGCTAATTTGCATGTCTTTTAAACTAATCATTAGACTTAAAAAGCAATTTTGCAATTGAAAGCCATGGCACTTAACCGACTTCCTACCTCCAGGCAATAAATTACCCTGAGACAGCTCGTCTCCCCCACAGTCCACACAGGAGCAGCCGAAGGGCCGCTGTCGTGTGTGACTCGCAGGGATGCCTGAGGCGGCGTCGTACCGCGGCACTGCCCGCGCCCCGGAGGATGGCTTCGCGGACCTGCTGCAGCCGCGGCTCTCAACCTCCTAACCCGTAACGAGGTCGTGCGAGCGTCTCCGCGGCCTCGCCTCGGACGGGCAGACCCGGGCGACACCGCGAGCCTGGCCGGCGACGGGACGCGTCCCGGGCGGACGGCCACAGCCCACGGGCTGAGGACGGGCGTGCGGGCATCCCTCCACGGCGCCCCGGGTCCGAGGGGCGCGGCCAGGAACCAACCTCCACGAAGGCATCCGTCAGGTCGCTGGCCCGGTCCATCACCGGCAAATGGCGACCGGCCACGATTTTCACCTTCAGCTTCCCCGGCATCGCGGCGGCTCCGGCCTCTCCTAGGATCCCTGCAGAAACAAACAAGCGAGTCTGCGCCGAGCGAGCGCCGGGGCGGGGGCGGGGGCGGGGGCGGGGGCGGGGGCGGAGGGGAGCGGCGGGAGCGCGCGGAGGGGCGGCGGGAGCGCGCGCCAACTGACAGCGGAGGGCGCGCGCGCCGCACTCACGCTCGGAGGAGCGGCCGCGTCGTCCCGCGCGGGCGCCGGGGCCTCATTCCGGAGAGGCGGCCGGACGAAGGGCGCCGGCCCAGCGTGCTGCCCCCGCCCCGGCGTGCTGCGGAGGGCCGCCGGGTCCAGTCAGCATCCCGCGGAGCGGCCGCCGCGCCTCCGCGCCTTTCTCCTCCCACCTTCCAAAAATGGCGGCTCGCGGGGCGGGGGCGATCGATCGCTCGGTGCTCTGCCCTTCCGCGGGGCCGGTTTGAATTCGCCGGGGCGGGAGGAGCGGGGCGGGGCTCGCTGGAAGACAGGGAAGCCGGTCGAGCCCGCATCATCGACCCGCCTCCCTCCGGCTCGCGGCGCGACCCTTGCTCGAGGGCGCGCTCCGGCGCTCCGCGGCCCGGCGCAGGCGGCAGACTGCTGCCGCCGAGCCTGCTGGGGGAGCCCGCCGGCAGCGTTTGCTAGGACCGCCACCAGGAAGGGGTGCGAGGCACGCCCCAGAAAACGCGTCAGGCTAGAGCCAGCGGCTGGGGCGCGTGCCTGTCAGCCCGCAGCTTGGAAGGCTGAGACAGGAGGAGTGCCTGGAGTTCCTAGCCAGCCTGGGCGACGCGCCAAAACCCCGGCTCAAAGGAAAAACTACACGCGCGCGCGCTCCTCGGATAGTGACAACGAGTATCATTTCCTGAAAGACTTGTTTCAGTCATAGGCTTTGGTTCTGTGTCCTGGGTCACAGATGACACCTCACGCTCCAGAGAGCCTTCCTACGCGCTTCACATGACCCCCCGACACCCCCCCCTCACGCAGTATACAGTCCTGGCGGGCCTCTCCTTGGGGTGCCGCACGGCTGGCTATGAATGTGGCACCCTCCCTGCCGCCTTGTCCAGGTGCTGGGGTGCTGGGTCTGCCTTGGCACACCCAGCTCTCTGTTAAACATTCACAAGCCTAAAGGGAGGACCTACGGGGCTGGCTAAAAGTCTGCAAGTCATAAACCTGCGGCAGTAAACGCAGTCAGCGTGAGAAATGACGTCTTTGTGAATTGACCCCACTCTGTATACTACCTGAGCCTGTCAAAGTGGGGTGTTATACACAGCTTCAGACTATAAGAAAAGAGACTAGGGTCGACGCACGCTCACAGGATGTGACAAGATCACTCCATACTGTATGGCAAACCCAGCGTTACGAATGTACTCCATAGCAAACACCAAAATCAACATTTAAAATGCCACTGGAAAAAATTATAGCACTGAATTTATCAGGAATGGAAAATTCCTAAATGAAGATATCAGCATGGTCTTTTTAACTTCAAAAATACTAAAACAAGATTTAAAAAAAAAAAAAAATTACCTCAAGCAAGAATGAACCAGAAATGGCTTTTTAAAGAAAAGTCCTCCTGGTAAAAGAATTTTGCCCATGTGAGAAGCTGAATTCTTCCAAACAAGAAATGGCCTGCTTAAAAGAAAAAAAAAAAAAATTCAAAAGATAAATTGTTGCAGACTTTTTGGACTAGAGAAACTCCTATCCATTTCTATAACAAAAAAACACAATCTCACATAATTTCCTTGGATCCACCCAAGCACTGATGTTCCTTGAAATGTCCTTGCTGAATTCAGAGGTTCACTAAAATGTAATCAATGTTCTTCATGTTGTTTTTGTTTCCTTCATTTTAACCAGTTTTTAATGAAATCTATATGCAAGATTACTCTTACTGCATCTTCTCAATTGTTTCCTTCCTCCTATTTGCCCTTTGCCCTTCCTGGTTGGCAAGATTTGGCTTTCTGCTCCAGAGCTTTTGGGTAGTCTGTCCAGTTTTTAGTGTGATGATAAACCCTTTAATGGGGTAAATGCCCACATGGACATTTGAGCCACTTACATTTTCTGCTGCCCCTATTCGATGTGGATGACATTTCCTGTAAAGCTGGGCTGTTTTGCCAATTAGCTGACCTTTCAGGTGTCCTCACGCAACCTGAACTTCATCCTCTTGGATACACAGAGATAAAAACCTCTGTCTTAGATCTTTGGAAAAAAGGGGTCACATTGAAATCCCTTTTACTACCCTTCCAACCTTGCTCCAGTTAGAATGAGCTGAAAATGGTGGCACCTGTCTTTAATCCCAGCACCAGAGAGGCAGAGAAAGGCAAATCTCTGTGAGTTCAGAGCCAGTCTGGTCTACATTGTGAGTTCCAGGCTAATCAGAGCTACTCAGTGACTGTCTGCCTCCGGCTCCCTCCCCACAAGAAAAAAAAAATTTACAAGTCCTTCAGCTTGAGAGTTGCCAGACAATATTTGTAGCCTTTTTTTTTAATTATTTGGATGGCATGATTGAGATGGCTTTTCTAATGAAAATGTATTTCCTTGCTGCCAGTTTCTTTTTTAAAATGCAAAAGCAAAGGCAGGCAGGAGGATTGCTGAGACTTCAGGGCCAACCTGGGCTACCAAGTGAAATTCTGTCTCAGAAAAGTTAAAAAAAAAAAAAATCACTGGGAATGTAGCTCAATAGCCAAGCACTTGCTTAGTCACAGAGGCTTTGGCTTCAATCTGTAGAACCACAAACAACAAACCAAAAACAATATGCAGGAAAATATAAGAAAACTGAAGTTTAGTAATAATTTTTAATGGGACATAATTCACAGAATTACAAGATGGTGTGATGTAGAAAATATTTGCAAATTGCACAATTACAGGTTAGCAGACTCGGCCTCCTAATTAGTGGACCTTCTAATAAAGTACTTGTGCTTACCTGCTGCCCAAGGCATCGTCAACAGATTATAATTAAGATGCTTCCTGAAAGCTCTTAGTGGAATTAAGCCTGGCTTCAGCGTAACCGGTTCTTAGTAATTGTCCTCGTTTGTTTTAATTAACGCTGGGAACAGCGCTTACTTTCCTGACAAATAAATCATGAGATGACCTCTGATTAGCATCTTCAGCTTCACAGGCTGCCCTCCTTCTTGCAGATTAGATTTTAAATAAGAGCTAGTGTGTGTTCAGTGTTCCCTGCATACTAGACACCAAGTTCATTTCAACTGAAATGCTATTGCTTTTCAGTTTCACCAAAATCTTGTAAGATTTGTCAAGCTTTTCTGGTTTTAGTTGTTATTTTTTGTTTTGTTTTGTTTTGTTTTTGTAGTGTTGGAAAAGGGACTGCATTTTTGCTTTTAAAAATTATTACACTTCTGTTCATTTATTAGGTGTATATATAGGTAAATATGGGGCATGTGCCTGCCAGAGCCCACATGTAGATATCAGAGAACACAGTTCTCTTGTGGCATAGGCATCCCAGGGACAGAATTCTGGCCATCAAGCTGGGCAGCAAGCATTTTCACCAGCTGGACCGTCTTGCCAACCAGAGCCTGCATTTTGTAGATAAATAAATTGTTTCGTTTGTTTGTTTGTTTGTTTGTTTGTTTGAGAGACTCTCACACTGGTCCAAGCAGGCCTAAAGTTTACTATTTAGCGCAGGCTAACTTATGACACACAGCAGTCAAGGCTTCTTCAGCCGCGAAGGCTGAGGTAACAGGTGCATACCACAATGCCTGGCTAGTGCTAGCTCTGCAAAGCTGCAATGACTGTCCAGGGTCTCATAGAGCTGATGAAGACTGAACCTGTCTTGTCATGATCCCTAAAAATCTCTCACACATGTCTTCCATCATTAACTGTCCACCTCCACCACTACTCTTCTCTGTCTTCTAACCCATTAACAGCAAAACAGCCCCAGTAATTTATTTGTTGAGATAAAGCTTCATTGCATAGCTCAGGCTGTCCTCAAACTCAAAGCATCTTGCCTCTGCCTCCAGAGTACTGGGATAATAGGTGTGCCCTTCAACACCTAGCTTAGAGATGTGTTTTCCAGTCAGATCTCGTTTATCCCAGAATGGTCTTGAAGTGTCTACATAGCCAAGGATAACGTCAAACTTCTGCTTTTGCTGCCTTTATCTCGAGTCTTGGAATTGCAGGAGTGAGCCACCATGTTCTCCAGCTTATGCAGGGCTAAGGCAGGCACACTACGGGATGATCTTTTCCAAAAATAAAAAAAGAGTGATACAAACTTGCTGTTCTAAAACATACTTTTTTTTTTTTTGAGACAAAGCCATGCTTAATAACACTAGCTGACCCAGAGCTCCCCAGAATAACCTAAGCTGGCCTCAGTTTACTTTCTGGCCCCCTATCTGCTAAGATTATAGGTATGCACCAATACACCAAGAGCACACTGCTAATTTTTGATAATGGTACAAAAGCAATTCAGAGTTTTCTTAGTACCTGGTACAAGTGGCGAGCCATGGTAAGGAAATAAATCATTCCATAGGAAAATGGTTTCCAACTTTCCTACTGCTACAACCGTTTAATACCATTCTTCAGGTTGTGGTGACCCAAACCATAAAAATATTTTTCTTGTTACTTCATAACTGTAATTTTGCTATTGTTATGAATTGTGATGTGAATATCGGTGTTTTCTGATAGTCTTAGGTGACCCCTGTGAGGAGGTCACTCAACCCCCATCCCCCCAAAAAGGTGTCAGAACCCACAAGTTGAGAACCACTGCCATAGGAAATGTAGCTCAGTTGGTAGAATGCTTGCCTAGCATTCGTGAAGCCCTGGGTTCCATTTCCCAGAACCTCATAAAACAGGTCCACTGTCACATACATACCCATGATCCCATCATCCTTGAAGTAGAAAAACGAGGGTCAAAAGTTCAATATCTTCTACACAAGAAATTGGAAAACCAGCCTGGGATTTATGAGATGGTTTTCTCAAAAAAAAAAGAGAAGAGGAAGGAAGGAAGGAAGGAAGGAAGGAAGGAAGGAAGGAAGGAAGGAAGGAAGGAAGG